TATTTATTATAATGACAAAAATTTTTACTTTGATTTATTCTTGATAGACTCGTTCTAAAAAAAGTTGACAAATTATGCCATTATACTACGTAGTATAACGAGATAAATAATAGGTGTCATTTAATTTCGTCATTCGTAATTGATTTCATCACGTGTAATTGATTTCGTGATATGGAAAAAATTATTCTCCTGTCATTGGTAGAAAATTTGTTATTAAAAATAATCTGACAATAATAAAATCAATTAAATCAAAAAAATTTTTAAAAATGTCAAAAAATTCCGAATTAACTGAAGCTGAGCGTGGAAAATTTTTGGATCTTAGATTAGGTGGTAGTAGTCTTAATAAAATTGTAAAGATACTTAAGCTTTCAAAAACTACAGTTTATGATACCATTAAACGTTATGAAAATGCTGAAAGCCTAAGAAGTGCACCAAGAAGTGGATGTCCCTGTGCAAGAGAAGTGGTCTAATCTTCCTGAAGAAGTTTATAATAAACTGATTGAAAGCATGCCAAGGAGGATTGAGGCATACATATCTATAATGGATAGCCCACAGAATATTAAATTTTTTATTAGGTGATGTTTTAATAAAATTTTGGTTTTTAGAAAATTTTTGATATTTTTTATATTAATTGAAGTCCGTTTTTTTTTTGGTTAAAAAATTAATATATATAAATAACAGAATCATGAAATATTGCATACACATTCGCTAGAACCTAAGCTACACGATGATATTTTCAAAAAATTTTATTATTATGTAAAGGTTTGTGGAATTAATAAAAAACGAGGTTCGGATACTTTCTTCCAGGCAGTGTATGGCAAAATTTCTAATTTTGGTCACAACATGTGACCTACAAAAATCATGTAAATTTAAAATCACGTAAATTATAGCTTATTATGCATAATATAATTATATTACAATCATCAAAATATGAAAATAATCATCTTTTGTTATTATTTTCTTATAAGTTTCTTTTGAAGAACCTTTGACTTGTTGTGCTAGACATATCTTAGCAACCCAAGATGATTTTAAAAGCAAAAAACCCTTACTTCAAGAATTAATTGAAGCAAGGGGTCATAAGATCATCTTCTATCCAAAATTTCATTGTGAGCTTAACTACATTGAAATGTATTGGGGGGCTGCTAAATGGTATGTTAGGCAACATTGTAATTACACATGGAAAGGTCTTCAAGAGAATGTTCCCAGAGCCTTTGATTCTATACCATTGAAACAAATTAGAAAATATGCAAGAATGACTGCAAAATTTATGGACTGTTACAGGAAAGGTTTAACAGTGGGATCTTTGAGCCAAAATGTGTTGCATGTCGAGAATTTGTTTCACTCAGCCCTCTTAAAAAAAACATTCGAAAGGTAAACATTAAGAAGTTGGTTTTTTCTCTCAACAGTGTTATTACAACAACAGATATAACAAAGCTCTAAAGCCTTTTAAGTTTTAGGAATATCTATAATCAAGAAGAGCTTTATAACGGATTTTATTGATGAAATACCAGGGTTATCAGGATGAGGTGGTTTTTAACCAAAAGTCCCATATAACGGGAAGGGCTTGATTTGGCCTGAAACTCGAGTTTGCCAAAGAATCCCAAGATATACCGTGCATTATGAATGGCAGATACAGCTGATTAACAAAATTTATATATACTGGAAAGGCTTGATTTAGCATAAAACCGGCTGGAACTTGTTAACCAAAAGTAAAATTACCCTGTTCACTTGCCATTGCTATTGCTGGCGCATCAATATTCTCTAAACTTTTTACTCCACTTTCCTACACAAACTATCAACACTAGTCATATATACTGGATAGTACTCTTAATATTAAAATGATCCTCCTGGTCAGAAAGATTTAACGAAATAATTGGTCGTGAATTATATGTTTTACATTTGTTAATTATCCTTGTTCATCGCTATATAATATACATAAATAAATTTTATCAAGTGTACTCGTGTTGGTTAAAGTTGTGCGCCAGTGAGTCGTGATTATTCACACCTGCGTGCAAAGTAATTGATATGCATACATGTGATGAATAAGACAGAAAAACATATTGCGTAATCGTTTTTTTTTTCTTCACGCTTTACTTACTATTACTTTGAAACAAATTACTTTTGTATGAAAAAGTAAAATTAATTAATAATATATAAATAAAAAATGTCTACTCTTGAAGATAAACTCCTTTGGGAAAAAGCTGACGAGGAAGGTTTGGAAGAGCTTGGTCAAGAAATTTTAAGATCTAGTACCGAAGATATTAATAATCGCACACGTTTACTTGACAATGAAATGAAGGTTATTATTACCATAGTTATTATTATCATGACCATGCTCAGAATTTAATTGATTGATTGATTTTATTATTGATTTATTGATTTGTTGGATGATTTATTGATAATTTTAATCTTAGAAATGTTTGCTTGCATATGTTTTTTTATCATTAACAACATAATCATTTGATTAATTAGATGCTAAAGTCGGAACATGTACGTCTAACACATGAACAAACTAGTATGAGAGAAAAGATAAAAGATAATAAAGAAAAGATAAAAGTTAATAAACAATTACCATGGCTTGTTGGTAATATTGTTGAGGTTAGTTTGATTTTGTTTTGACTATTTAGATCTATTGGAAACATTTTGATTTATAGTAGTTAATCTTTAGTACAAGTATTAATCAAAGATAATAATAAACCATTATTATTATAATTAATGATCAGTTGCTTGATATGGATCCAAATGATGAGCCAGAAGAAGATGGTGCAAATATAGATCTTGATGCACACCGTAAAGGAAAATGTGCTGTGATTAAGACATCTACACGACAAGTAAACTTTACTTTCTTTAAACTAATTTCCGTTACTATTACATTATCCATTATCACAATTAAAATATTTTGTTTTAGACTATTTTCTTGCCTTTGATTGGTCTTGTTGATCCTGCTACTATCAAGCCAGGTGACTTGATTGGTGTAAATAAAGATAGTTATCTAGTATTAGACACATTACCAGCAGAGTAAATTTATTTATTCATTCATTTTATTTGCATTTAAAAAAAAAGTAGTAATAAATTATTATTTTATTTATAGGTATGATTCTCGTGTTAAAGCTATGGAAGTTGATGAGAAACCAACAGAAGATTATAATGATATTGGTGGTCTTGATAAACAAATTGAAGAGTTGGTAGAAGCTATAGTTTTACCAATGACACATGCAGAAAGATTTAAAAATTTGGGTATAAAACCACCAAAAGGTAATCATTATTAGAAAAGATTAACAATAATAATAATGATAATAATAAATCAGTAGATTAATACTCTTGAATTGATCCAATTAGGTGTTCTTATGTATGGTCCTCCTGGCACGGGTAAAACATTGCTGGCAAGAGCTTGTGCAGCACAAACTAATTCTACATATTTAAAATTAGCTGGTCCACAACTCGTACAAGTAAATAAATAGAAGGATTCATAATAATTAAATTAAAGAGTTATAATAATACTCAACATTTTATTTATTTTTATTGCTACTATTATTAATATTGTCATTAGATGTTTATTGGTGATGGTGCTAAACTTGTACGTGATGCTTTTAATTTGGCCAAAGAAAAAGCACCTGCTATCATTTTTATTGATGAATTAGATGCTATAGGGACAAAAAGATTTGATAGTGAGAAAAGTGGTGATCGTGAAGTACAAAGAACTATGTTAGAATTGTTAAATCAACTTGATGGTTTTAGCAGTGATGAAAGAATTAAGGTTTTATATTATTATTATTATTTTGTCAAAAAAAAATTATCCAAGACAATACATATAAAATATTAAATATTTATTTATTTAACTGTTAGGTAATTGCTGCTACAAATCGTATTGATATTTTGGATCCTGCACTTTTACGATCAGGTCGTCTTGATCGTAAAATAGAGTTCCCCTTACCAAATGAAGAAGCCCGTGCTCGAATTCTTCAAATTCATTCACGTAAAATGACTGTTGGTAGTGATGTAAATTTTGATGAATTGGCACGTTGTTGTGATGAATTTAATGGTGCTCAATGTAAGGCTGTATGTGTTGAAGCTGGTATGTTGGCTTTAAGAAGAGGTGCTACTGAATTGAGTCATGAGGATTTCATGGATGGTAATTAATTATCTTTTTATAAAAGTTTTTTAATTATTATTAATATTGTGTTAATATAATTGATCTTTATTATTTTTATTATATAGGCATTCAAGAAGTTATGGCTAAAAAGAAAACTTCTTTACAATATTATGCATAAACACTGCTACTACTACATTTATTATTATTACTTACTATTTATAATAGATTAAATTACACATATTTATATATATATTTTTGTTTTTATATTAATTAAAAATATTATTAAATATCAATTTTTCAATTTTCATGATTAATAAACAAATAATGACAATGACGATACAAGTGGGAATATTGAAATCAGAAATCATTGATTCTTTCTTTAGAAGAGATTGAAAAATATATATAATCAATACTTAAAAAGCTGCGATTTACATTTAATTAATACTTTGAATTGTTCCAAATATTCTATAAGATTTTTTTTTGAAATAGATTATCTGATGATGAATGATATTTATTATATATATACATTAACATAATGATAAAACAATTCTTTGAAAAACAAAAACATTTCAAAAACATTAATAATAATCAACTATATATTTGCTACTTTGTAGCTTCATCAAGAATACAATTTTTTACAATACAAATAGAATGTCTAATTTTCTTTAACGGACAATACATTAATATAATTTTTTTCTATAATATGTACTTGTTGAATTCATTTATGTAGTGGGTGACAAGATTTTATATTTTAATTAACTTAATTGAGTAATTCATCTGGTACAGTTAATTCAACCCGGTTGAGAATCTAAAAAAACATTTATCATAAGAATGAATGTTATTAATAAATATTGTTAATTTTAAAAATTAATAAAAATGAAATAATTAATAATTTAATGTTATTAATTACCATCATTATTGTCACTTTATTGGAATTCATAGGTTCGGGAAAGCTTGTAAATTTTAATGATTTGCTAGTATAAGCAAGCATTTGGATGAATTGTTGTAGTAATTGTCAAAAGATCAAATTTTATTTCATCCATTTCATCAAAAACTTTTCTAATTGATTTTAATTCATCATGCTCTTCTTTTGAATATCCCCATTTTTATTGCATTATTATGCCAAAGAAAAATGATCCCGAAATTTTTGAACTAAAATAACAAATAAAATAATATTTAATTACAACAATAATATCTGGAAATTAACATTGATAAAATGATTTACCTCATTAAAAAATTCATCAGAAATATTTGTGAAATATTTAGTTTTTTTAATGCCACAGTCATATCTTTACAAGTATTTTTTTATTAAAATGATTTATATTCTTAATCAAAGTAGCTTTGTATATATATAGTTGCAAACCATCTTATTAAGTCATTACAAGGAATCCATTGAAGATAAAAAATAATTATCAAATGTAGTTGTGTGCTTTTAATCAACTCATTTAATGTTTCATTGCCACTAGTCCATCCTTCAGCTAATAGTGCCCAGTATAAGTATTATATCCATTGCAAAGAAAAAAAAATACAAATAGGAATGAAAAAAAATTTTGATCTACGTAATTTTTATTCCGAAAAAAAAAAAAAATATAGTAATAGTGCAAGTCACAGTTACACACAAAAAAGTTAATAGACGAATTGAAACAAAATAAAAATTTGAATATTGCGGATCTTTTGTCACGTAAATTTTCCAGATGAACGGGAAGATAATTAATTATCTTTATCATTAAAAAAATACAAAGTTCATTTATTTTAATTTAATAAATAGATTATTGCATTGATCAAAGAATGTGCAAAATATACTGCTATCTCCCACCTAGCACCAAAAGTATATTTTATGGAAGTATATATATATACATTTTATTTCTATTGCAAATGTCAAAATTTCATTTTAATTTAACTATATATATAGATAAAAAAATGGTACCATCAATCAACACAGCTATAATCAACTGTCTTGCATTGATCAAGAAATGCGCAAATGATGTAATTATTAATATAATAAATTATTTTGTGGACAAGTAGTCTAATTTATCACTATATAAAACATATAAATAGACCCACTATCCCCCACTTAGCACCAAAAATATATTTCGTGGGAATACACTTTGTTTATATTACTTAATATCAATATTTTTATTTCAAATTTAACTAGATAACAAATGGTACCATCAATCAACACAACTAAAATCAACTGTCTTGCATTGATTAAAAAACATGCAAATGATGTAATTATTATATAATAGACTATTTTTGTGGACAAGAAACATATAAATATTATATACTAATTAATATCAATATTTTATTTCAAATTTAACTAGATAACAAATGGTGATGTCAAAATATATATATTTCATGGAAATAAATTTGGAATTTTATTATATTTAGAAAATAAAGTAAGTTACATTAATAAATGAATAAATGAATTAATGAATAAATAAATTAATGAATAAACAAATAAATAAAAATAAACAATTAATTAATTAAATTCAAGATCATGCAATACACTGTTAGGAATTCTTCTATGGGAGCGGTATTTTTTTACTGCATATTCTGCAGCAACAAGAGTCAATCCTTTTCTGTATGCATCCATATACCTGAAAGATCTACATGCATATTTTCTTATAGATGAAATCGGGATAGAGTCCAAGGCCAAAGGTACTGTTCTCAAAAGTCCATTCCAAGTGTAATCACAATTTTCTTTTAGCTGCACCCCAATACATCTCAATAAAATTTAATTCACAATGGAAACTTAGGGTAGAAGATCACCATATGTCCCATTGCTTCAATCTCTTCTTGGATGATTCCTTTTTGTGCTTGGAAATCAGGTTCTAGTTCTAATATTTTCAAACCACAACAGTTTGACTTTATTTTGATCCCTTGATTTCCTAGTTTTACACTCAGAACATGCCTTTCTCTAACCATCCCTATATAATCCCCTTTCTACTAATACTGATTTCATTCCTTTTTGTTTTCCTCTTAAATTTACTTCAATATATTCATCAGGGTAAACCATCTTTTGGATCCTACCATTGAACACAGTGTCTCTCATATGTGGTTGTTTTCCACCATCATTCCAACCCATTTTGAATGCAACTAAAGCATCATCTGCAAATGCTGCATGACTAGTTGCATTATCAAAGGCAAATAATGCCACATGATCTTGGTGTGTTGCTTCAAAAATCGGAATTGCCTTTTCTTTTATTTGTTTTAATAGCTTATCAGTGTTCCACCATCCTCCATCATTACTCCCTGGCGTAAGATATTCAAAGCTATGTGAAGGTAAATTAGGAAACTGGACTTGCTGGCTTTCATTTAATTGCAAAGGTCCAAATGTTTCTGTTAAAAATCCACTAACATGATATGTCTTCCCTTTTCCTTTTTTTCTTAACAGATTTTCACCTGATGGTCCCCAACCTGCACTTTTACCTTCATTTGAACAGAAGGTTGATTCACCATGTGTTACTAAAATTCTCATTTTAGTATCATCTTTTAAAATAGGATCAACTCTATCTTCTAAATTGACACCCTCAAATATTGGAGCATAAGGTTCATATTCCTCTTCCATAAATTTTAAAAAGTTACTTCTATATTCCACAACATCAGGTCTCTCATAACCATCAGCATATAACCCCTTTTTGTAAGTATCAAACTTCCATCCCAACTTTTTAAGCAATCTTGCAGCAGTTGATTCTGATATTTTTTTATTTTCATTTTCCACTCCTACTTGAGGCAGTATTGTATCATTAACATATTCACATAATTTTCTAGGTGTTATTTCAAATTTGTCGGATCTCAAATGGCATCCTATTTGAGCGGCAATGTCTTCATCATCCAATATGCTCTTCATCTTGGGATGTTTTCCCCTCCTAGAAGTAGGTACTGTTTTGCTTTTGATCCACTGATTAGCCCAAACTCTAATACACCCCCCTTTATATTTTTTTGCCCACCCTAGAGACACTGCCACTGTTTCACTTGCTTCAACCCGTTTTTTACCATCACCCAAATGTCTAAAATACATTTCAACTGCCATTAATCTGGTCTTTACATCGTTGGTTAAGTTGGGTCTTTTAAGAGCTTCTTCAACAGAACTTATTGCATTTTTCTGGTCATCATCATCATCTGCTGATTCATTACTTTCCAAATTTTCAAGTTGGTCTCTACTAGAAGTTTGATAACCAAAAAAATTGGTGATTTTGGAAGTTCCAACAGCAGCATCTTTCAACTCCTTGGCATGTCTCCGTTGTGTTCGCATTGAATCTCCAAGATAAAAGACCTTGAAATGGGTTTTTCTTTGGAAGCCACCTTCGCCTTTTCATGTATATATAAGAATAATAAAAATTATTCAGTGTCACAACTCTCATCACCGTCGTCGTTTACCACTGTTTCATTCTCATTATTATC